CTTATAGGACACTGATTTCATCACATGAGGCCCTGCCCTCATGGCCTCATTTAGTCTTAATTACCTAAAAGCTTCATGTCTAAATATAGCCACATTGGGATGAGGACTTCAACATAAGAATTTTGAGGATACACACAATTTAGTCCAGTACAAGTATTCAAAGATATCATGCATATGTGTAGTAAAGTTGTAAAATAAGAATCATTAGACACTTGGCTCTGCCTCCAGTTTCCCCCATTTTTCAGGAGCATTGATGGATCCACAAATCATGGTTTGTGCATTTCAGTTGTGATGGGTTGCAAGCAGTTTGGGAGCAAGAATAAAGTACAGAATTTGCAAATATGAACTCTTTTCTAAATTAGCACAAACTCAAGATCATCCCTGTGGCTTTGCCACTTTCTCACGTGGGATGGAAAGGGGTGAAGTTAAACTCCTGTCCAGGGCACTATCTGGAAGGCATGTCTTGGGGACAAATGTCCAGCCTAGGAGGCCTGTTATTGGCATCTTGGGCTGTAAAAACCTGTCATCTGCTCTCTCCCTACCTGACATTCTCTGGCAGCATCCTGGAGCCTCAGGGCCAGGCTTGTAGCTTCCCCTCTGTGGAACTATTTTTAACCTGTCATGCTGTTTTCCTTTTTTAAGGTTACTTTTGGTGTTTTTCATGTTACAAAGCAATATGTAATATGTTTTCTGCAGACAAGTGAAGAGAAGGCAATGAAAAACTTTATCAGCATCAAGGTTTGATGAAGTCAAATTTTTTTAATGCTCTGTTTATAGTGGCTAAGATGGCCATGCACACAGGAAACCTTTAGCTATCGGGACCATCTTAAGTGGGTGGCAGAAGCCTCTGGGTAGAGAAGGAGACCCCAAGGAACATGCTGGAATAACAACGAAAGGTTCTAAAAGTTCCTCTGGGAGGACGTACTTAATACAAAACTTTTGTCTTGCTGAGCAACTGAATGGGTGTTTAGGGAGGTGCTCTATGCCTTCTTCAAGGGGCCTGAGGCCTGTTCTCTATGCCACAGACTCACATATAAGATATGCACTCTTGGAAGAATAATTTTTTAAGGACACCATGTTATCAAGTCTTTTTTTGGCACCCATTTGTCTCATCTGTCCCAACCTTGAATCATCATAATTTTAATAGCTCTATTAGTTTTATAAAATTAATACTTGCTATTATTAAAAAATACAAATAAGACCAAAATAGTTGAATGTCCTGTTACCCAAATGTAACTGTCCACTATTAATTTTAACTTTTTTAATATTAATTTTTTTTTTAGGTGTAGATGGACACAACACAATGCCTTTATTTTTATGTGGTGCTGAGGATCGAACCTGGGTCCTGCCTGTGCTAGGCAAGCGCTATACCGCTGAGCCACAATCCCAGCCCCTAATTTTAACTTTTTAATCTTTATATTTACAAATAATTTCCTTTTAGAGATAAGTTACAAAAATAAAAATGGTCCCAAGATCCCTTCTAGAGTCTCTCTCTCTTTTTTTTTTTTTTTTTTGTGGTACTGGAGATTGAATCCAGGGACACTCTACCACTGAACTATATTCACTATTCCTTTTTTATTTTGAGTCAGAGTCTTGGCAAGTTGCCTATGCTGGCCTTAAAATTGTGATCCTCCTGCTTCAGCTTTCCGAGTTGCTAGGATTATAAGTATGTGCAACCATGCCTGGTCAGATTCTCCCATTAACATTTTACCTCATTTATCATTCTTGTTCATCACTTCTCTTGTGTACTCTTGCATTCTCTCATCTGTGTCTATGTGTGGGGGCTGGGGATGTGGCTCAAGCGGTAGCGTGCTCGCCTGGCATGCGGGCGGCCCGGGTTCGATCCTCAGCACCACATACAAACAATGATGTTGTGTCTGCCAAAAACTGTGTCTATGTGTGCCTATATACACACACACATAAACACAAAAATATTTTTTTCTTACCATTAGACACTTCGTCCATTCAGGTTGCTGTAACAAAATAACATAGACTGTGGGTGGCTTATAAACAACAGAAATTTATTTTTCATAGTTCTGTAGTTTGGGAAGTCCAAGATCAAGGCACCATTTAGTGAGAGCCCATTCCTTATAGTGCATTCTTGCTGTGTCTTCACATGATGGTAGATGTAACAAGTTCCCTTGGGCCTCTTTTATAAGGGCATTAATCCCATTCATGAGAGCTCTACCTTCATCACCTAATCACCTCCAAATATCAACACACTGGGGGTAAACTTTTTAACATATGAATTTTGGAATGATACAAACATTCATTACATAGAGAGAGTAAGTTATATATACCACCTGACTTTTCCCTTAAATCCTTCAGTGTTTCCTAATAATAGAGATACTTTCTTATATAACCACAGTACAGTAACACAACCATATTTCTTTTTTTTTCTTTTCTTTCTTTTTTTTTTTTTTTTTTGTCTTTGGACCCCAAAATTTCCTTTTCTAGTGCAGGATCTAGTATAGGGTCAGGTATTGGGTTTGGTTTTGTCTCTTTAACTCCCTTTAATCCTGAACATTTCCATAGTCTGTCTTTTGTGACATGCACGCTCTGGAATAATACACTTCTCCTCTTTAGCATAAAGTCCCTCATTTTGTATTTGTCCTCATGATTGATCAGAACTTTACCTTCTGGGCCAGAACACTGCAGAGATACTGTGCCCTTATTCTGTGTGTCACAATAGGGCACATGAAGTCTCCCTGTCCTCCACATTAAGGTTCATTTTGATCATCCAGAGTATCACCTGAGCTCTCCATTGTGTTTTTTTCTTCCTGGCACCTAATAAACAGTCTAAAAGGAGACATTTTAAGACCAGGCAAATAGCTTGCTCCTCATCTGAATTCTCCTCTGAGAGTTAGCATTGGGTATTTGCTCTTGCTTGGACTATCTTAATATGATGTTTGCAAAATGATAGCATTCTGACTGTAGCACCCCTTCCATATTTAAAATTCTGTTGTGAGCAAGAGCCCTCCATTTATTTGTCTGTTATCTGTATGGACTAATTAATTCCTGTTTTTCAATGGTTTTAAATTAATTACTGTATTTAATTCTATTCATCCTCACACTGTCCCTTGTTTGGCCAGGGGAAGCCCCTCTAGTTGGCACCTGAATCCTATAGCATGCCCCAGAACTTTTCAGAGCACTTGCTTGCTTTCTGAACTAATATACTCAAGTCCTCTTGTTCTTTCCCTGCTAGCCCTGGCATTAGGCAGAATCTCCAGGAAATCGTTGTTTCTTTTGCCATGGAATTAAAGGTACGAGGTGTGCGCATGCGCATTACTATTGCAGTGTCTTTGTTTCCTGGCACTTATTGGGGACAGAGCTGGGATATGAATATGTATATGCACACATATCTACACATAGAAATATGCATGTACATAAACAGATCTGAGCATCCATGTGAAGTTACAATTCATACTAGTGCTTCCATTCCATTACACCTCTGTAAGTTTTGTAATTTCTTATATTTATATGTCCTTTCTTCTCCAGTGAAAACCGTGGCTTCTAACAAAATCAACACATATATTTGTTTGCTTATTTCTATGACATACCTAAAATAGGTTATTCATAATGGAAAAACAGTTCTTAAGTCTTTATAAAAGAATTCAGGGACTGCTAGTAGTATAGCTCAGTGGTAGAGTACTTGCCTAGCATCTGTGCTTTTGGTGTATAAATTGCCTAGGCTAGTCTTGTTTGATTCCCAGCATCACTTTTTTATTTTATTTATTTATTTATTTTTATTGGTTGTTCAAAACATTACAAAGCTCTTGACATATCATATTTCTTACATTTGATTCAAGTGGGTTATGAACTCCCATTTTTACCCCGTATACAGATTGCAGAATCACATCTGTGATTCCCACCATCACTTAAAAAAATGTTAGGATCATCCCTCCCTGCCCACATTATTAACTTTTAATGAACATTCCTTTAGATTTCTCTATATATGCCTATAGATAAATACACACAATTTTATTAAATTGTATCATACTAGAATACTATTTTGTAACCTGACTTCCCCTCCTAATTAGTATATCATTAACATCTTTCCATAATGTTCATCTAAAATCATTTTGCCCACAAAAAGAAATCCACAGGATATTTTGTAATGGCTGCAGAATAAGATCATAATTCTTTGTTAACTGTCTTTGATTTTAAAAAGGCATCCAACTTTTTGCAATTATATATAAAGCTGGCATCAACATCTTTATAACTAAATCTTAATTATTTCCTTAGGATAGAAGTGGAATTACTGGTCAAAGGGTATGTATATTTTTATGTCTTTCTTAATGGCTGTATTTATTCTCTGGCCAGCAGCTTTTGTGAGTGCTGGAGTTTCCAGGCTAATGATTCTTGACTGGGCTGCACATCAGAGTCATAGAGGGCACTTTTAAAAGCAGAGATGCCCAGAACCGGCTCCCAGAGGTTCTGGTTTCGTGGACCTGGGGTATAACCAGAGTTTGTAGTTTTTAAAAGCTCCCCAAGAGATTTTCATATGCAACCAATTTGATAGGTGTAAGCCATAGTTTATTATATTAATTATGTATTTCTTCTGAAATTGTTTCAGACATTCTGAATTGGGAGAGGTGGCCCCAGAAATAAAACCATCAGAGAGACGTACAGCTGTGGCAATTGCAGGTAAAGTTGGACTTGAGCCCATTTTGAAGCAGATGTGTTTTCTTCTGTCCCATTGGGTTTCTGGGTTCCAGTACTTTCCTGGGCTGGGGATCATGGATCTCAAAAATAAATAAGTGTAAGACCTTTATTTTTCCTTTTTAAAAGAAGATTGTATCTCAAGGTATTCTATTCAAGTCTTGTGCCCACTTTTTAATGGAGATATTGTCTTTGTTATAAAGTTGTAAGAGTTCTTTTTTTGTTTGTTTAGTATGGGGCTTGATTCCCGGGGTGCTTTATCACTGAGCTGCATCCCAGTCCATTTTATTTTTTATTGTGAGACAGGGTCTCACTAAACTGCCAAGGGTCTCATTAAGTTGCTGTGGATAGACTGGAACTTGTGGTTTTCCTGCCTCAGGCTCCCTGAGTCCCTGGGATTACAAGTATTTGCTACCACTCCCAGCATAAAGAGTTCTTTATATGGATACTTAGATCCTACCAGATATATGATTTACAAATATTTTCTTCTGTTGAGTTGATCATCTTCGTTCTTTCCTTTTTTTCCTTTTCTTTTCTTCCCCCTTCTCCTCTCATCTTCCTTCTTTCCTTCCTATGCTGGAGATCAAACCCAGGGCCTCAAACATGCTAGGCAAGCACTCTGCCACTGAGCTACATCCCAAACCCTCTTTTTTATTTATAATGTCTTTTGATGCACAAGTTTTTTATTGTTTTTTCTTCTGTTGCCTGTGCTTTTGGCATATAAGAACCCACTGTCAAATCTAAAATTATGAAGATTTATGTCTATGTCTTTTTCTAAGAGTTTCATGGTTGGGCACTTTCATTTGTATCATTGATCCATTTTGAATTAATAACTTGTATACAGTGTTAGGTAGAGGTGTAACTTTATCCTTATGCATGCAGATACCCATACCTTATTTCTGTTTCTTTCTGTTTTTCTTTTTTCTTTCTTTCTTTCTTTTTTTTTTTTTTTGTAGTACTAGGAATTAACCCTGACTCTACCAGTCAGTCAGCTACATCCCCAGCTCCTTTTCTTATTTTAAGACAGGCTTTTACTAAATTCCATAGGCTAGCCTTGAAGTTGTGACATTCCTGCCTCAGCCTCCCAAGTCACTGAGATTATAGGTGTGTGCCACCAAGCCCAGCTCATACCTCATTCTTTCTTTTTAAATTTTTTTTTTGTAGTTGTAGATGGATAGCATGCCTTTATTTTGTTTGTTTATTTTTATGTGGTGCTGAGGATCAAACCCAGTACCTCACATCCTAAGCAAGCACTTTACTACTGAGCCACAATCCCAGCCCTCATACCTCATTCTTGATGCTAATAGCTCCAAGGTGTGAAATGATATCTTAAATGTCTGTTTACTGCCCAATAACAAGTATTCCAAAATTTGGTGGAAAACACTATAGAGGGTACATACCAACTATTGTAATAATTGGTGGGAGGAGATCATTTCATTTGAGTGAAAATGGCTTTAATTGCCCTATTTTGGTTCTCCCACTTAGGCTAATAACAGTTCTTAATGGATATAATTTTAATGGTAGGTCTGGCCCACACACTGCCCTGTGCCCATTTGAACTTGGTGCTCCTGTGGTGTTGGAGTTCAGGCTTACGTCCTCTTGGGCCATGCCCTAGTAAGAATTCTAGTAGAGTCCTTGGCTCATGGATCTGAGCCTTGTGGCCTCCTTGTATTTGCTGTGGATTTGTGCCCTTGCTGGGGCCCTGCTTTGTCCCTGTCTGTCTTTTGCATAGTTTGCTTATTTGCCTTCTGCATCTCTACCTGTGGAACATTAGGTTATGTCCACCTCTTAGTTCCCTGACTTTGACTATTTGTGCTCACTTGACTTCTTGTACCTGTTATCTCTCTGAATCCGAATCAGGCTCTTTTCCATCCCTAACCAAGCAAAGCCCTGTTTTCTCTGGGGACTGAAGGTTACTTTTGATTCCAACTCAGACTACTCTAGAATCTCCAACCCCATCTCTGGCTCTCTAGTTTCCCATTCTCTTCTCTAGCCATTTCCGTATATGGTATTTTGGATTCTTTGTAAAAAATTTTTCTGATGTTTACTTCACTTTGAGCAAAATAACCTTTTGACTGCTAGACATTGCAGTTTGAGTCAGGGGAACTGTCCTGCATTGTCTCTTATATCTTTGGGCTGTTTAAGAAGCCCTTTCCTTTTTTTCTCTCAGGCCTGTCTCATATTCATTTCCCAGAGACATCATCAAAGAAGACAGTTTGAAATTTTAGAATTTTCTCTTAATTATATGGGAATCATGAGAGAATTGAAAATATCAGAATCTTTTTTTGATAATAAGTTCTTAAAAATGTAAATTTGGGGACTGAAGATTTAGCTCAGTGGTAGAAGGCTCACCTCACATGCACAAGGACCTGATTTTTTTTAAAGTCTTTTTTTCCTGATATAAATATCTGATAGCATTAATTAAATACATTCTATCATTAAAATATTAGTGTGGATGGATTTAGTGTTATGCTAGAGACACAACTTTTCCTATTCTGCCCTCCCTACCTGGGGATTTGTGCTCTCATATAAATATTACTTTAAGTGATTACAAACACTCTTTCTGATGGAATAAAAATAATGTTGAGCTGGGCATTGTGGCACATGATTGTAATCCTATCTGCTTTGGAGGCTGAGACAGGAGGATTGCAAGTTTGAGGCTAGCCTGAGCAATTTAGTGAGACCCTTTCTCAAAAATTTTTAAAAAGGGCTGGGGAACTGGGCAGGGTGGCACATAATTTTAATCTCAGTGACCCAGCAGATAAGGCAGGAATTAGAGGCCAGCCTCAGCAACTTAGCCAGACTCTGTTTCAAAAATAAAATAAAAAGGTTTGGGGATATAGCTCAAAGATAGAGGGCTTCTGGATTCCATCCAGTACCACAAAAAATTGGGGTTGTAGGGGGTGCTTGGGATATAGTTCAGTGGTGAAGTGCTTGCCTGATATGCCTGAGGCACTGGATTCAATCCCTAGTACTGCAAAGAAAAATTCCAAAACCCAAAACATTTCTTGAGCATCAGGAACAGTTATCATTGACCACAGTAACCTTATGTAAACTTTGTGTGTGTGTCTGTGTGTTGTGCCGGGGATTGAACCTCAGGCATGCTAGGCAAGCAAGCACTGTACCACTGAGCTATACCTCCAGCTCCCTTACTTAAGTGTTTTTTTTTTTTTTGATGAAAGAAAATGGTTTAATTTTGATCCATATAAAAGTTACAACCAGATTTACTTACATTATGAGTCTTTACTTAAGTGTTTTGATAGAAATGTTCTAACTTTCTGATGAAACTAAATGCCTGGTTTTTTGTTTTTTGTTTTCCTAGATTTGGAATGGAGAGAAATGGAAGGAGATGACTGCGGGTTCCATTATGGAGGTAGAAACTGTGGGACTTAGCATAGATTGGTTTGGAGAAGGAAAAGGAGGGGAGAAAATCGAAAAATAACTAGGATTTCATATTTTTAATAATTGAGATACTTTGTTATTTTGGTAAGAAAGAAGGAGAGTTCTGGGTTTAGGTTAAATTACTTTGTGTCAATCAAAGGCACGTATTTGAATGACCTTCATTTTTCTTTTCTTTTCTTTGGTGCTGTACTGGGGATTGAACCCAGGAATGTACTAAGCTGTTGTTCTACCACTGAGCCACATTCCTAGCCCTGACACTTTCTTTTTCTTTTCTTTTCTCATAGATGGTAGCCCTGACACTGTCTTTTTCTTTTCTTTTCTCATAGATGGTACGAATGAGGCTCAGGACAATGACTTCCCGACAGGTATACATTTTCTCTTTTTGTTCTAGCTTTCTTTTCTTTTCTTTTCCTTTTTTTTTTGGCAGGGTGGGTGGGTACCAGGAGTGCTTAACCAGTGAGCCACATCCACAGTCTGTTTTTATTTTTATTCTGAAACAGAGTCTCACTTTTAGCCTCGCTAAATTGCTGAGGCTGGCTTTGAACCTGTGATCCTCCTGCCTCAGCCTCCCAAGCCATTGGGTTTATAGGCATATGCCACCACACCCAGCTGTTCTAGCTTTCTGATATATTATTGGAGGGGGACATTATCTAGGCTGGTGGTTCCACATCTATCTGCATCAAATCCTGGGAAGGCAAAGTGCTGAGATCTGGGATGCCCTAATCCATTAATCATTTATGGAACATTAGTAATATTGCTGAAAACCAAACCTCTGAAAGCTCACTAACCATGGGGAGTAACTAGCAGTAGTAACCTTCTCCTTCAACACATCCACTTCCATATTTAGCATCTGTGGAGGGGAAGCTCAGGAATCTTTTTGTGTGTGTGGTACTAGGGATTAAGCCCATGGGCCTTGTACAAGCTATGTAAGCTACATCCCGATTCCTTTTTTGAACTTTTGAAATAGGGTGTTGCCAAGTTGTCCAGGATGGCCTTGAATTTGCAATGCCCCTGCTTTAGCCCCCTGAGTAGCTGGGATTGTAAGTGTACTACCATGCTTGGCTGGATGGAACCTTTTTTTTTGGTGGGGGTACTGGGGATGGAACTCAGGGGCACTCAACCACTGAGCCATATCCCCAGGTTTATTTTGTATTTTATTTAGAGACAGGGTTTCACTGAATTGCTTAGCACCTCACAGTTGTTGAGGTTGGCTTTGAACTTGCAATCTTCCTGCCTCAGCCTCCCAAGCTGCTGGGATTACAGGCGTGGGGCACCGGTCCAAGCTGGATGGAATATTTTATTTATTTATTTATTTATTTATTTAAATATTTATTTTTTAGTTGTAGTTGGACACAATACTTTTATTTTATTGATTTTTATGTGTTATTGAGGATCCAACTCAGGGCCTTGCAGAGTGAGTGCTAGATGAGCGCTCTACTGCTGAGCCACAACCCCAGCCCTGGAATCTTTTATTTTAAACAAGTTCCTAAAGTGATTCTTATCTCAGCTAGTCTGGAAACCTTTCAGGTGGCCCAGTAGTTTCTCCTGAGTTTGGGAATGCAGGCCCAGAGCTGCCAAACAGCCTGCCAAAGGCCACTGTTTAGGCACAGATGCATAGGAGAATGGGTTGTTGGTTCTGGCTTTTCCCTTTTGCCTTTTACTCCTTGTAACTTAATAAAAACATTTGTTCTTTATATAGATGAAAAATTATGTCCCTGATTTCATCCAGGCAAAACTATGAAACCTGAAAAATATCCACGCAGGATATTGCCACAGTGTAACCCTCCCATGCGGTTCCTCTGTTTTTGCAAGTTCCCATGCCACTTGTTCTCTCTGGAGTGGTCTTACAATTACACTGCTGTAGAACTCTGAGCCTTGGGATCAGTGCTGTGGAGCATTTAGGTCACTTGGGAAAGGTCCTGAATCTGTTACTTGACCTTGGGAAACAATAGCAGGGCTGAATCAACCAGTGCTTTCTCTCATGGTTTATTTGAGCATATTTCTTCCTCTCAAGAGGAACTGGAGAAAAGTTTGGAGCTTTTATTATATTTATTGTTTTATGCATTAACATTTAAAGTAAAGTGATTATGTGCAGTTTGAACTTTGGTAAGATGCCATGCCAAGGCTGGGGATGTGGTTCAAGCGGTGGCCTGGGTTCGATCCTCAGCACATACAAACAACAAAGATGTTGTGTCCGCCGAATACTAAAAATTAAATATTAAAAAAAAAAAAGATGCTATGCCAGACTCTTGGAGATAGCAATCCTGTCCAGAGCATCTAACTTGTAAGATTTTATATTGTATAGAGTGATATTTGACTATCTGAACAAATAAACAAGTTTTCACTTAGTCTGCACCAGATATTTTACTATGACTAAAAATTACATATTGGTCTCAGATCTATGATTGCTGACTTTCCTTGCTTACTAATATTTTCCTTTAAAATATTATCCAACTTATTTATAAGGAAAAATAACATTAATTAGAATTCAGAGAGTAAATAGTGATTGTGCCCCTGTGGAAACTTCCTGGTGACATTGAGGGAGCACAAGGTTCAGCTTATGTGTGTGGCCAGAAGCACTGGAATAACTCTGGCATGCATTATGGTATGGGAGGTGGGGCCTGCATTCATTACCTAAGGGGCATGTTCTGTTCACTCTAACCAATTAATTTTGAGCTAAGTGATAGATTTTGGAGATTTCTAGAGAAACCAGAAATTGGTGCTTTTACATGAACTCTCCCCAATTTTTAATTGTGACTCTTTTTTTTTTTTTTTGTTTTTTTTTTTTTTTTTTTTTAAGAGAGAGTGAGAGAGGAGAGAGAATTTTTAATGTTTTATTGTTTAGTTCTCGGCAGACACAACATCTTTGTTGGTATGTGGTGCTGAGGATCGAACCCCGGCCGCACGCATGTCAGGCGAGCGCGCTACCGCTTGAGCCACATCCCTAGCCCTCCTTTCTGTTTTCTAATGTTATCACATCTGTGTAGGATGATAGTATTTACCTTGATATTGGATCCCATTCCCCTCCCTGATCTCACGTCAGCTAAACATACCCTGAGCTTCCTGTTTCTGCATCCCACTCCTAGGGACATCCTTTCTAACCCTTTCCTGCTGGACTCTCCCTCTCCAGCTCTACAGTGGCCCTGACTCAGGAATGTAGACTGAGCAGTCATGTCTCCATTTCTTTCCACAGTGGAGAGAAGCAGGCTTCAGGAAATGCTATCCCTGTTGGGACTGGAGACATACCAGATGCAGAAGCTCAGCCTCCAGGACTCTCTGCAGATCAGTTTTGACAGTATGAAAAACTGGGCTCCTCAGGTTCCCAAGGACCTGCCCTGGCATTTCCTCAGAAAACTGCAGGCCCTCAATGCTGAAGCCAGGAATACCACCATGGTGCTGGATATGCCTCCAGATGCCCGGCCTGCAGAGAAGGAAAACCAGATGGAGGAGATGATCTATTGGGATCCAGCCGAGGATATCGCTGCTGATGACATCTACTCTTTCTCTGAGTTGCCAACACCCGACACACCAGTGAACCCCCTGGACCTTCTCTGTGCCCTGCTGCTGTCCTCAGACAGCTTTCTGCAGCAGGAGATTGTACTCAAGATGTCCCTCTGCCAGTTTGCACTCCCACTTGTGTTGCCTGACTCGGAAAACCACTATCACACCTTTCTGCTGTGGGCCCTACGGGCTGTTGTACGGACGTGGTGGTCCCAGCCCCCTCGGGGCCTGGGCAGCCTAAGAGAGGACAGTGTGGTCCTATCCAGGGCACCTACCTTTTCCTTCGTGCGCATGGATGTCAGCAGCAACTCTAAGTCCCAGCTGCTCAATGCCATCCTCAGCCCGGGCCGTAGGCAATGGGACTGCTTCTGGCATCGGGATCTCAACTTGGGCACTAATCCCCGGGAGATTGCAGATGGGTTAGTAGAAATTTCTTGGTTTTTCCCCAGCGGCAGGGATGACCTGGATGTCTTCCCAGAGCCTGTGGCCTTTCTGAACCTGCGAGGTGACATTGGGTCTCATTGGCTGCAGTTTAAACTTTTGACAGAAATCTCCTCGGCTGTGTTTATTCTGACAGACAACATCAGTAAGAAGGAATACAAACTATTATACTCTATGAAGGAGTCAACCACAAAATACTACTTCATTCTGAGTCCCTACCGGGGGAAACGGAACACAAACCTCCGATTCCTGAACAAGCTGATCCCTGTGCTGAAGATAGACCACTCACATGTCCTGGTGAAGGTCAGTAGCACTGACAGCGAGAGCTTTGTGAGGAGGATCAGAGGGATTGTGGGTAGTGTGGTACGGTCCCCCTGCAGGAGGGTGTCTGTGGAAGACATGGCTCATGCAGCCCGGAAGTTGGGCCTCAGAATTGATGAGGACTGTGAGGAGTGTCAGAAGGCAAAGGACCGAATGGAGAGAATCACCAGAAAGATCAAGGACATAGATGCCTACAGGAGGGATGAGCTTAGGCTGCAGGGAGACCCTGGAAGGAAAGCAGCCCAAGTGGAGAGGGAGTTCTGCCAGCTGCAATGGGCCCCAGACCCACCTGAGAAGCACCGGGCTGAGCTGAGGCGTCGGTTTCTGGAGCTCCGGATGCAGCAGAATGGCCAGGAGCCTACCTCAGGGGTACAAGAGTTCATTGCTGGGATCAGCAGCCCCTCTCCGGGTGAGAGACAATACTTCCTGAGGTGGATGGAGTGGGGGCTGGCTCGGGTGGGCCAGCCACGGCTGAGACAGCCCCCAGAGACCCTTCTCACTCTGAGACCAAAACTCAGTGGGGCCTCAGACTTGAGTGAATCACTCTGGCCTGAGCCTCTTGGGGTAGAGCATTTCCTGCGTGAGATGGGGCAATTCTATGAGGCAGAGAGTTGCCTGGTGGAGGCAGGGAGGCTGCCAGCTGGCCAGAGGCGCTTTGCCCACTTCCCAGGCCTGGCTGTAGAGCTGCTGCTGCTGGGGCTGCCCCTGGAATTGGTGGATGGGGGAACCCTGAGCATCCCTGTTCGTTGGGTCACAGGGCTCCTCAAGGAGCTGCACATCCGCCTGGACAGGAGGTCTCGGCTGGTAGTTCTATCTGCCCTGGGGATACCAGGCACAGGGAAATCCATGCTTCTCAACACCATGTTTGGCCTGCGATTTGCTACCGGGAGGATCTGCAGTCCCCGGGGGGCCTTCATGCAGCTCATTACAGTGGCTGAGGGCTTCAGCCAGGACCTGGGCTGTGACCACATCCTTGTGATAGACTCTGGGGGGCTGATCAGTGGGGCTTTGACCTCAGCTGGGGACAGGTTTGAGCTGGAGGCTTCACTGGCCACTCTGCTAATGGGGTTGAGTAATGTTACTGTGGTCAGTTTAGCTGAAACGAGGGACATTCCACCAGCTATTCTGCATGCATTTCTGAGGTTGGAAAAAACAGGACACATGCCCAACTATCAGTTTGTGTACCAGAACTTTCATGACATGCCTGCCCCCAGCCCCAAGCCAAGAGAGAGGAGACAGCTCTTGGAACCACCCAGTGATCTGAACAGAGCTGCTGCCCAGATGGAGAAGCAAGGTGGTGGCTTCCGGACACTGGCGGGCCTAGCCTTCTGCGACCCTGAGAGGCAGCATGTCTGGCATGTCCCAGGACTGTGGCATGGAGCACCACCCATGGCTGCTGTGAGCCTGGGGTATAGTGAGGCCATTTTTGAATTGAAGAGATGCCTGCTAGAAAACATCAGAAATGGCCTGTCCAACCAAAACAAAAACATCCAGCAGCTCATTGAGCTGGTGCGGCGTCTGTGAGTGTTCAGGTGTTGGGGCTGCTATGGTGGCCTATTCTGATGGGGTCTAGCAGGCTGTGCCCAGGCACCTGAGAGGCGGCTGGTGCCTACTGCACATGAGAAGGAAGACCAGTAAAAGACAGGGGTAGGGGTCTCCTAACAGTGTTAAGAAAAGAGATAACCTCACTGACCAGCTCAGAGATGTCACTGGGGAAATTAGAGGCCCTGGGTGGGGTGACACAAGCAGTAATTTGATCTTTCCTGAATCCTGTCAAGGTTCCTAAGGGTTGGCCCTATGGACAGCTACTCCTTCATTGGCCCCTGGAGTTCGGAACAGCTTCCTCAGTCACTGTAGGCCCCAGCAGGGAGGGATATCCAGTTGAGGTTAGGAGTTGTCCTGAGGAAGCATAGGGGAGGTCTTGCTTCCACAAAACCTAAGGGTTGTGGACCAGCATTTGAGGTTTTGGTGATGTGATCCTGCCCATGTGTGCAAGACACTGCCATAGAACCAGGTATATGGACTGATCTGTGAAGCCTTCCCTGACCCTTGCCCCCAGGATGCGTTCATCAGAAACCCTGTTGTGTCCCAGCACTTTGTCATACCTCTGCCTCAACATTTCATGGCGTATTGTCACTCATGTGTTTACTGTCTGCCCCCAGACTGTGAGCTCCTTGAGGGCAGGGACAGAACATCCAGCTCTGTATCCCCAGGGTCTGGCACACTGTAGGCACTTAATAAATGTTTGTCGAATGAATGAATGCTCACCTGATAGTAGTGCCCAGGTTCTGCCTCTCTGTGCCTTCACTGTTCTGTGTGCTCAGAGAGGATACAACAGCTGCCTAAGGAGAGCTCTGGAGAACTACATGACAAATGTGAAATTGTTCCCTTTCTTTAAGCAAAGAGCAATTCTGGCTGTTAACTGAGAAAGGAATTAAGTGCTTTCACAAGCACTTAGGTAATTCCATCTTTGCCCCAATTTATAGGTGATGGAGGAAGCCCCAGACTGCACACCTACATGGCAGAACACAGAGGAACCAGTGGTGTACTCATCCATTGGCTCTTCCTAACCTCCACAATATCTAAGGATCCCTGAGCCACCAGAGCAAGCCAGCCTGACCCTTCTGGTGTCCTCTCCACATCTTTCCCTGGCCCACTTAGCCACCATTTAGGCCTGATACTTGACCAGAGACCTTGGACTCCTGCCCTGTTGATCCTCCAGCTGGAAACCTACCCTGTTTCTTGTCCTTTTACCAGACACAGCAAAGGTGCCCTCAGCTCCAGGGCTTCTGGTCTGGAACCCTTTCTTGAATGGAGGTTCCCTGATCCTTCTTCTGTCTGCCTTGCTTGCTGGGGGGACCCAGTATGCTCCATCTGCTGATCTCTTCACTTTCAAATTATTGTCACTGTGATATGGGAGCAGTTTCTAGTTATATGTAGTAGGTAGCAGTTTAGGAAAAACTTTCCCTTCTGAAACACATAAGTTGGGCATGGTGGTGTAATCCCAGCTACTGGAAAGGCTGAGGCAGGAGGATTGAAAGTTCCATAGTGAAGCTGCAACTTAGACCCTGTCTCAAAAAAGCCTAGGGTTGTAGCTCAGTGAAAGAGTGTTTGCATTCAGCGTGTGAGGCCCTGGGTTCAATCCTCAGTACTGGGGGTGGAAATGGGGAGAAGAATGCTAGCTGAGTTGGAAATACCAAGGCCTTTCCTTTTTTTCCACCAGAGCCATAGAAGCTGCCCAGGGGCTTCTCCAACACAGTAGGAATTTCATCCAGGATAATCCTGGGCCTCAAGTTAAAACACTGGAAACTCCTTTAAGAATTGCTGAATATCAGCCAGTTCCCTTAAAAAATTGAGCTGGTTAGACTGGGGATATAGCTCAGTTGGTAGAGTGCTTGTCTCACATTCACAAGGATCTGAGTTCAATCCCTAGCACCATTAAAAGAGAGAGAGAGAGAGGGGTATATGTGCTAAGGAGGTAGTTCAGTGATAAAACATTTACCTGGCATGAGTAAGGCCCTAGATTCAATCCCCAGCACTGGGTTAAAAGAAAAAAAATTGATTCAAGCTGTTCCTAAAATCCATGACAAGGAAGTCAGCCCTAGTGGCTTCTAACAAATCAAGGATTCTTTATATAGGATCTACCCATTGTCCAAAGATAAATTCAATCTAAATGCCTGAGGCTTAAGTGTATGCAGCTCATGCTTTCATCAGCCTTTCAAAGAGATGCAGGATTTAAAGGAAATTATTACTAACCACTTAATAATCGGGGAAGTTATTCTATACATCCCCTATAAAACAATTGTACAAAATATTTAAAATTTTGAAAAAAGACCAGTCTGCAGATTGGGAGCAAGAGAGTCTGCCAGGGGTAGCCTTGGTCAGAACCACTTTGGAGGAATTCTGAAACTACTTGTGTCAAGTGAGAGATCATTGCTACTCTGAGATGCAGGAACAGAAGAGGTCACCCTGGAGCTCTGACTTTTTTCAGGAAGTCACATGTTCTTGCCCTTTTGGTGGGTTGATGTCTCAAGCCCATGACTATGAAAAAGGGATTGACCTTCAGACCCTCAAGTCAGGGTTGCTCCTAGGATTCAAACTTACATAATCCCCAAAACTAGTTTGGTAGCTCTAGAGCTACAAACACAAAGTGTCAGTCTGCCCTTCTCATTTCTGGATGTTTACCACAGCCAGAGGCCAATCTGCATCACACCTCAAGAAACACCTTTAGGATTTGAGAGGCCTAGAGCTTGCAAAGAGGCTACTGGGGAGGTCATGTCTTATAGCCAAACTTTGCAATGGGAGAATCACTCAGGGGAAGCATGGGCAGACAGCAGGCTGCTCATTAGGTGATCCTGTAAGAATTTGAGACAAAGGACCCTTGAGATGGACTGTGCTGTTACAGCACACAGGATTTTCAGCCTGGTCTGAATCTTGTCCTTGCTTCCTCCTAACTGACCCTTGAGCAAGGTTACTTGGCTTCTCTAAGCCTTGGTTTGCCCACTAGCACCTGCTTAATGTGGAAAGTGCTTACACAGTGCCTGCTCTGGAGGAGTATTCTGTGAATAAGTGCCATGTCTCAAATGTCAACATGCCAAATTAAGAATCATTAATGTATCAATGTATCTTAAAAGTAACCATCTTTCTTCCTTAAGAATATACAAAATAGCATCTTGTAACTGATGTTATCTTACATTCACTAAATACAGTACTGGGTAGGGCTGGTGTTTTGTAGTCTGTACCAATGTAAACCTGATCTGTAGCTACTCCAGCTCCTTAGATGTGATGAATTAGCTCAGGAAAGAAAAATCCTTTCTCTTTTTGAGTCAGTAATAAAATGGTTTTGGCCCTAATCCTATCTGATTTCTTCTAGGACCAACAAAATTACATCAGAATGCAGCTTTATAAGCAGTGATGAGGCAGGGCCACAGAAGAGAGCCAAGCTGTCCTTGATCCTGGTTCATGATATTCTGCTCAGTCCATAGCAGCCACACCGTGGCTACCTCCATGCTGTTGTCAGCTGATGCCTCCCCCTGCCTTGCTGGCCCTGGCTTGCTGTGGTGGCACTTCTCTTTCACTTAAGTGTCTGAGGCCAGCCTCCCTCATTCACACCATTTGACAGGGTCAGGGGCCTATCCTCTCTTGGTCCTTGTTTTATAACATTTTAATTGTTTCCCCATTCAAGTTCATTTAAAAAAAATTAGTTGTAGATGGACATAATACCATAATAAATGTTTATTCATTTACTTTTATGTGGTACTGAGGATCGAACCCAGTGCCTCACACAAAGCCCAGGTTTGGCTCCTCTGGGTTCTGATATTTCACCCAGGATCATGGTGTGGTACTGGGTCTTTCTAACTGCACTTGGCTCTGATACCAGGAGAGTGGACATTCTCAGAGCCCAAAAGCTAAAGCTAGTAATTATAGCTTGGTTCTAACCCATGCACCTAGACCCTTTTCCCTGACCCTCAATGGAGGGAGAATGTGTGGAAGTGGGAGCTCACAGGAATCATGGACCATCTGTGGTAGGAGACACTTCTATTTGGTTTAGTTTTTGTTTTGTAGTGCTGGCAGTTGAATGTAGGAGTGCTCTACATTTGAGCTACATCCTCAGACCTTTTTATTTTATTTTGAGACAGGGTCTCACTAAGTTGCCCACACTGGCCTTGAATCCTTTGGCTTCAGCCTCGAAAGTAACTGGGATTTACAGTTGTGCTTTGTAATGGCTTTTCAGTGGTGGTTTGATTTATTTCTCAGAAGAGACAACCCTTGGGATTCTTGGTAAGTGAATTACCAGGAGTAATAGGTTTACAAAGAATAATGTGTCCACCTCTTTGCACTCTGGGTGGCTGGACCCAGCTGGACAGACCATCTCCAGGAAGTCCAGATCACTTCACAGGCCCTTTCTTTGCCTAGTGGCCCAGGAGTGGCAGGCCTGGCTGTAACAAGTCCCCTCAGTGCCATGGTCTTCCCCAAACAGGTCTCTGTAGATACAGGTTTTGGGAGTCCCTCAAATAAACTAATTTAAGATACTAATTCTCCACCCTACTGCAAACCAGAATCATCAAAGAGGTATTAGTTTTAGTCAGCCCTTTTGTGCTGCTTCTGTGACCAGAAGACCTGACAAAAACAATTAGAGGAGGAAAAGTTTATTTGGAGGCACATGTTTCCAGATGTCGTAGTCCATGGAATGCCAACTCCATTCTTTGGGACCAGAGGTAAGGCTGAACATCATGGTGGAAGACTGTGGCAGTGGCTCAGAACATGACACCTGGAAGCAGAGAGACTCCCTTCACTCAAGACAAAATATAAACCCCAAAGGCACACCCCCAAGACTCACCTCCAGCCACACCCCACCTACTTACAGTTACCATCCAATTAATCCCTATTAGGGAATTAATGCATTGATTAAGACTCTCATCACCCAATCATTTCGTCTTTAAGTTTTCTTGTATTGTCTCACAGATGAGCTTTGGGGGGACACCTCACATCTAAACCATACACCCATCCTAATGTATCTTTGAGCCCTTGCCCAACCATGGAACCCTGGAAGAAGACACAAGTACATGCTCTATAAACGGAGCTAATTCTGTAATCTCAAAAGTGATTTTGGGGCCTTTGTCTGATCTGTGAAGTCTAGAAATACTGCCTCCTTAGCAAGATGGATGGGAAAAACAGTGTGTCAAATTACAAAAAAGATGTCCCCATTAAAATGTTTCCATTGGTGGGACTGGGGTTGTAGCTCAGTAGTGGAGTGCTTGCCTATCAGGTGTGAGGCACTGGGTTTGATCCTTAGCACCATATAAAAATAAATAAAGGGACTGGGATCATATAGCACAGTGGTAAAGTGCTTGCCTAGCATGTATGAGTCACTGGGTTCAATTCTCAGCACTGCATACCAATAAATAAAAATATTCATTGACAACCAAAAACACCCACAACCAAAGGCAATGTATCCATCTACAAGAAACATTTTTTTTATTTTTATTTATTTATTTTTATTTTATTTTATTTATTTTTTTTTTATTTTTATTTTATTTTATTTTATTTTTTTATTGGTTGTTCAAAACATTACAGAGCTCAAGACATATCATCTTTCATACATTCGACTCAATTGGGTTTTGAACTAAGAAACATTTTTTAAAAGTTTCCATTGGTGATTTTAAACACAGTTCATACTAATGTACACAATGTGTCATTTTAAGTTACTTTAATCATGTAAATTAACTCATGTGATCCCTCTCCAATCAAGGAACCAGCTGAATTTTTTTTTTTTTTTTTTGCAGCAAAGCATTGTATCAACAAAGGGAAGGTAATGGTGTGTTTAAACCATAGGATTTTTGCCCTGAAATGTTCATCATATTGCTAGATAGGTTTACAATTCCCAGGAGGCAACTTAGGAAAGGGGAAATGGCTTGAATCAGGAAAAATAAATAAATCTGATTGTACTGTTCCTACTGCCTGGAAGAGAAACCTGAGCTCCCAAGCACAGCATTCCTGTCCTTCTCATCTGGCCAACCTGTCTCCTGATGCACTTGTACCTTGGCCCGCTAGGTACCTGTGCCTTTGTCACCTTTGCCTGTGGTGATTCAGGACTCAGTGTAACAATCTGTTCTTCCCCTATTCCTTCTAGTTCATTCAGGGTTTATCTCCCTAAAATGATGAATAGCTATCAGGGACTCTTTTAAAAACACTAGAAAACACTAAGCTGCTCCTGCTGCCAGGAATTTTACTGTGTAATTTTCACACACAAAAAAAAATTTGGGGGGTGATGCTCAGGTTTCAACCCAGGGTCTTACATATATTAAACATACACTCTATCAGTGAGCTACACTCCAACCTCACAACCATTATTGTCCCCATTTTACAAATGAGGGAACCTGGGCTCAGGATGGTTTAGTCATGACCCACATTACACAACCAAGAGGTGGATCCAGGATTTGGATCTAGGTAGTTCAAATGCTAGATCCTATGTTCCCTGGCACATTGGAGCAGACTTATATAATTTATCAAATTGTAAAACCATCAAACTTTATGAAAACTTTAAAAGAAAAAAAGACTATCATTTAAAAAGGATTCTTTAGGAAAAATTGAATTCTTATGTTTGCAAGGCATTGTGGATTGTGGAGAACATCACATCTGTCTGTGCTCTTATCCAATATTCAGGACAGCACAGGCTGCAGTAGGAAAAAGGAAGAATAAAACATTCCTAGGGAGGTGAGGATGAAAGACCCTTTCATTTTATTAAGGATTTTTAAAATCAAGATCCCAGAGAGGAATTTTGGTCATGGAAATCAACTGGACTGAAGCCAAGAGACTCCAGTCTTGCTCACTTTCTGTCTTTGCCCCAGTGTGACTGTGGGCAACTCACTTCCCACTTTGGTTCCATTTCCCTCTTTACACATGATCACCTAGTCTTCCCTCCCTTGACAGGGTACAAGCATCATTAGGATGAAAGATGCAGGTCCTAAACAGCCAAATACTGGCAACTTCACACCATTCAACCTAACACAACCAAAACAGTTATCATTTATTAAATATCCTCTTGATCCTAATAGCTCTATGAAGTAGTACTAGCAAAAAATAAGCCATTTGATAGATAATGATACTGAAGTTTGACTGTACAAAGGTTGTTATACAAGAGCCCACGTGTTTTCCATTACTGTAGTGAGTTCTAAAATAAGATACCAAGTGTTGCTATTTTTCCCCTCTGTCATTAAATAATTACCGGACACCAACTAAATTGGCACCGCTCTGATGTGAATATTAAGGCCCTGGGGTATCCCCATACATTTCCTTGCTTCTTAAAAATTTACCTTCTTACTGGTGGCAAGTGGCTCATGCCCGGAATGCCAGCTACTCAAGAGGCTGAGGCAGGAGGTTGGCATGTTAGAAGACAGCCTTAGCAACTCAGTGAGAGCCTGTTTTAATTTTTTTTTTTTTAAGCTGGGATGTAGTTGAGTGGTACAGTGCCTAAGTTCAATGCCCAGTACTTGGGCGGTGGTGGCAGGCGGTGGGGAGAATCGCTCCCCTAGGGTAGCCACTATTAGATGATCATGAATGGCAAACCTCTGTGTAACACATCCTTCAAGAACTGGGCACAATTTTGACCAAAACATGTTTCTTCCTTGTGGATAAAAGCCCAGAGTTTGGAGGTTTGGTTTTCTTGCGGTGTGAGGACTGAATGCAGGGCCTGCACATGCTAAGCAGGTGCTCTACCACTGAGCTATACACCAGCACCCACGCCCTGCTTATTTCACAAGATCTTTTGGAGAAACGCGCAGTTTAATTTCTAGCACCTGGACGTCCTGAAGTCTAGATGGAGGCGGGGGGGCGAGGCGGCGCGGGTTTCCCCTTTCTCCATTTTCAGGATGCCATCACTTTCCCTACCGCGAGTTCTTGGAGGGCGAAAGCTCACGTTTGCTTCATCAAATTTCCGGATCAGAAATCTAACACCCAGCAATCAAAGCCAGGAGGCTGTAACCCGGGTGAGCCCGAAAGACCAGCACCTGGCGCCAGGTGGCGCTCCTCTCGGCGGAGGCCGCCCCGCCTCTCCCGCCACCCAAGGCACGCCCCCGCGCGCAATTTGGTCTCGTCCGCGCTGTCCCCCCCCTGCCCGAGCAGCACAGTGGCACGTCCTGGGCCCTGCTCGGCGCAAGATGGCGGCGTCCGTGTGCGCTCTGCCCCTGTGGCCACGGGTGAGTGGGCGGTACGGGCTGGAGGGTCCGGGTGGCATCTTGGTTTCGGTCTCACGCCCCTTCCCCACAGGTGGTGCCGTGGAGTAGGGAACTTCCGGGCGCCTGGCGTGCCCTGCACACCTCCGCAGTCTGCGCCAAGGTGAGCGCTCCAGGCCGGGTGGGAGTGGGACCTGGACGATAGCGGGAACCGGGAATGGGTGGCGGGCCCGGGGTGAGAGCCGAGCCTCGGAAAAGCCGGACGGGTGCGGGGCTCAGTGGGCGAGACTCGGGGCGGGGCTGCTTAGTAAGAGCCCTTTGCTCCTAGAACCGGGCGGCCAGAGTCCGCGTGGGCAAGGGGGACAAGCCCGTGACCTACGAGGAGGCCCACCCACCACACTACATCGCCCACCGAAAGGGCTGGCTGTCGCTGCACACAGGTAAGGGGACTTCAACTGGAGACCCTAGCTCTCCCGGAGGAGGAGCGCTCAGTCCAACTGTCATGTGAGCTAGACGAACAAGTTTAACTTGGTCATTGAGGCCAGTGTCAGGAATCTGTTAATCCAGTTAAGAGGAGACCCAAAAAAAGCAAACACAGATCTGGCTGTTGAAATCAAGTTGAAGATGAGTATAAATCTAACTTTTTCCATGGGCCCGGGAACTTGGTTGAGCCTCCACTAAACAGAAATTATTTGCATGTCTTCATACAAGATTTTCCATTGCTATCAGTTTTGTTTTTTCTTTTTTTGTAATTTACATAGATGTAAAACAGAGGCAATGAAAGGAGTAAAGCCTCCATAGAATCTGTAACCGGGAAGAGTATGTCCAAAATAATGTAGTTTTTCACTGAAGCACGATTTTTTTTTTTTTTGCAAGTATGTACAGTCAATCCTTGTTATTCACAGATTCTGTAAATTCTTGTTTTCTTTTTTTTCCTTCTCCTTCGTGTGTGTGTGTGTGTGTACACATACACGTACATACCAGGGCACTTAACCACTGGGTCACATACACAGAGCTTTTTATTTTTTAATTTGAGTCAAGGTCTTGCTAGGTTACTTACAGCCCGTTAAGTTTCTGAGGCTGGCTTGGAACCTGAGAGCCTCCTGTCTCAGCCTCCCCAGCTGCTGGGATTTCAGGGTTGGGCACCACCATACCTGGCACTTGTGTGTATTCTTATACTGACTAAAATTTGTGACCTCAAAATCAATGCCCTATCACGTTCAAGTTATTTAGGGACACAAGTAGAGCAATGCCCTTATGTTTTTTTGCAATTGAGGTAGCACAAGTTTCATAGTGTAAAAAGTGCCCTTTATCACAGTCTAGCAACACATTTTAAAAATTAATGTGCCTTTTGTTTGTGATTTTGCTGTTTAAAAGGATCCTGAATTACTGTCTAGTGCTTCTGAGCACAAGACTGTGATGTGCCTTACACAGAAAATGTTGTGTTAGATAAGCTTTATTCAAGCCTAAGTTACAGTGCTCTTGGCTGAAAGTTAAATGTTAATCAACCATATATATTAAAGTATTTTTAAACAGAAGGGCACCTGAAACTAGCTTATGTATTAACCTGTTAATGAAAGTATTTTAATCAGAGGCTTGCACAAATCTAATAGTGTATTCCTCCTACAAGCATTGTTTCAGAATTCACTAGCTCAGTGTTCACAGTGACATTATTACTGTGAAATAATGAGAATCAACTGTATTTTGTTCAATATGAGGGTTACCAACTTATGTTTGGATGAAGCTAGAGTATTGGCGATTGAACCCAGGGGTACTCTACCACTGAGCTACATCCCTAGCCCTTTTGATTTTTTGTTTCAAGACAGAGTCTAACTAACTTGTCCTGGAGGGCTTTGATCCTTCTGCCTGGGCCTCCTGAGTTGCTGGAATTACAGGCAGGTGCCACCACACCCTTTTAGAAAACTTATATGTTCTTGGGCTTAATTCCCAGCACAATGAAAATAAATAAAATACAGGTTCTGGTTTCCCACTCTTTTAGGTTCCTGTTCTTGTTTTGAGGCCTGGGTATGTGTGTGCAGATTCAACATGTACTGTAAGGGCTTCGAGCTTCCAAGGCCCATACTGAGAACCCATTTATGGAAGCTGTGGTCCAAGCTCTTGAGAAGCTACTGTCCGTAATTTCATAAGTATTGGCATCATCTGACTGGCCCACAGGATGAACTGTGCTTCTTTAAAGCTGTTAAGAAAGACTGGAGCCAGGTGGCTCATACCTATATAATCCCAGTAAAATGAGGATAATAGTACTTGCTTCACAGAATTGGTTTGGGAATTAATAAGATAATGTATTTTTGACTTTTAATGTATTGTTATTCCGTTAGTGGAAGAAAAGGGAATAGGCTGTGGCAAGGAGTGGGATTGAATGCCCAAAGCTCTTAGATATTGGATCTGACTTTTTGGCAGCTCCCTGGGCAATATGGCTGACTGCTGTGGTGCCTTCTCTTCAGGTAATCTGGATGGGGAAGAACATGCTGCAGAGCGAACGGTGGAGGATTTTTTCCTACGCAAGTTCATGCTGGGTACCTTCCCAGGCTGTCTGGCTGACCAGCTGGTCCTGAAGCGCCGGGCCAACCAGGTGGAGATCTGTGCCCTGGTCCTGAGGCAGCTGCCAGCACACAAGTTCTACTTCCTTGTGGGCTACAGTGAGACTCTGCTGTCCCACTTTTACAAGTGTCCTGTGCGACTCCATCTCCAAACTGTGCCCGCAAAGGTTGTATATAAGTATATTTAGGATGATGCTCTTTTTTATATCAAGGTGCAATATGCAAAGGTGAGAAATGTGGGAAAGAAGACCAGTAGAATGAGGAGAAATGCAAATCCTTGGAAGACAGAGTCATCATCACTTCTAAGCAGCTGTTGAATAAAGATCCTTGTGCTGCCTTGCTTCTGTTTACCTTTACCTTTTTGTGGTTTTTAAACTTTTATTATTTATTTATTAATTATTTTCTCTGCTGGTGATGTGAACCGAGGGTCTCATGCAGGTTCAGGGAGTATTCTACCACTGAACTATATCTCCAGTTCTTCCCTTTGCCCTTTTGGTCAGGGAGCTAGAGTTGGGTTTTGTTTAGGTCTTCAGGGCTGGTAGGGAAGCTGCCTGTTTTCTGAAGTTTAGCTCAGTTCAGTGAGGACCTGTTTGTGCAGTTACTCTACCCCATATACCACATACTTCACCTAATAAAGATGTGTTTTAATAAAGTAATTAATGTCATTTGTGGGGGGTTCTGGGGATTGAACTTGGGGTTACTCAGCCATTGAATCACATCCCCAGCCCTATTCTGTATTTTATTTAAAGACAGGGTCTCACTGAGTTGCTTAGTGCCTCACTTTTGCTGAGATTATCTTTGAACTCATGATCCTCCTGTCTCAGCCTCCTAAGTTCACAGATGTGCACCACTATGAGTGTCTTTATGTAATTTTTTAAAAATAAAACAATATACACAGTCCCTTTGTATATCCTTCCATCATTCTATTTCCTTACTCATCCCACTCCCTTCCCACTACACATCACTGTTAGAACCAGTCTGTTTACCATCTCTCTGGTTTTGGCATTTCCAGCATCTTATTAATTGGCTCCTCACAGTGTGTAGCCTCCTCATTCTGGCTTCTTGGACTCAGCCATATTCATGTAAGCTTCACCCATATCTTTTATATGAGTTCATTTCTGCCTCTTGCTGAACAGTGGTCTATTGATGGATGTGCCCCATCTTCAGCTATTGCAGTTCATGTTGATTCATTAAAGTGGTTGGCCATTTTAAAAGAGCTGCTATATAAGAATGCAGACTGGTTTTTATTTGTACATGTTTTTCTTGCCCTGGGGATTGAGCCCAGGGGTGCTTTACCACTGAGCTGCATCCCCAACCCTTTTTATCATGAGACAAGTTTTCTTTAAGTTGCTGAGGCTGACCTGGAACTTGCAATCCTCCCTGTCTCCCAGGTCTCTGGGGTTACAGGCATTAGCTGTCACACCTGCCTATTTGTATGTTTACAAAGTAATTTTCTTCTCCCTTGATGGTACTGGAGATTGATTCCAGAGTCACTCTAGTACTAAGCTACCTCCTTAGCCATTTATTTTTATTTTAGGACAGAGTTTCACTAAGTTGCCCAGGATGACCTCACACTTGTGATTCTATTGCCTCAGTCTCTGGAGTTGCTGGGAATACAGGTATGCACCTATGTGGCTGGCCTCAAAGCCATTTTGTGAATACCAGGGAGTATAATTTCTGGATCAGAATGTTAGATTTAATTTTGGAAAAAACTCAAAACTGGTTTCAAAATTGAACCATTACACATTCCACCATCAATTAATTTGAGTTCCTGTTCCACATCTCCCACTGTATTTGATGTTGTCATTATTATTTTTCAGTGCTGGGTATAGAACTCAGGGTCTTGCCTATGCTCAGCAAGCTCTCTCACCACTAAGCTACGTATCTGACCCTCATACTGCCTTTCTTAGGGCTGGGATGTAGCTTACTGGTAGAATGTGTGCCTAGCATGTGTAAGCCCCTGGGTTTGGTCACCACAATACACTGATGCAAAGAAGGTTGTTTTTAGTTTAATGAAGATGATGTTATATGCCTGTAATATCAGCTAAGGAGGCTGAGTCAGGAGGATCTCAAATTTGAGACCAGTGTGGGCAATTGAAATCTGTCTCAAAAGCAACAAAAAACAAACAAAAAATGCCTAGGGGTATAACCTAGCCACAGAGTGCTTGCTTAGCATGCATTAGGACCTATATTTCAATGTCTATTACTGCAAAATAAACAAGAACTCTATACCAAATACGAGGTCAAGTTGAATTTTTTCTGTTTTGGAATTCTTAGTGTTGTGTTTTAAACATATCTGTATATTATTTTGAAAGTTTTTTATTAAATATTTTTATTAATATTTTTTAGATGGACACAATATCTTTATTTTTATGTGGTGCTGATGTATAGGAAATGAATTGATTTTTGTCTGTTGGCCATCTACTTTGCTTCTTTATCCATTCTGATTAAGGTACAAGGTGCTGGGCTCTATCTCAGTTTGAATTTTCAAATGATGGCATGGAATAATCAGAACACAGAATTTCAGATTCACTGGAATTGTTGATGAGGGGACTAATGACCATGGCCAAACAGCACTCATTGTCCTGCACACCTCTGGCAACTGACAGAGGATGCTCAACCCTACCTTCTCTGATCTGTGTGAAGTGCCCTGTGTTCTGAGGGGAGATATTTGGGGTGTGTCTAGGGTGAGGACTAGAACTTCCTTTTCAGGACCAAGCCTGTGTTGGAATGCTTGGGGGTCCCATGAGGGAGAGGTGAGGAAAAGCTGTTAGCTTTTCTTATTGCAGGGGAGGGAAGTTTGATGCATGTTTTGCTTTCTCAGGCAATATTTTATTGCTCAGGCTGGACTCAAACTTGCAATCCACCTGCCTCATGATACTGGGATTATAGGTGTGTGCCATTGTGCAGTCATTCTTTTATTGCAGTTTTGACTGCTTTCATCAAAGCATGCCAAAGGTGGTTTTGTTTCGTGTGTGTGTGTGTGTGTGTGTGTGTGTGTGTGTGTGTGTGTGTTTTGATTGTTTGTCTTTTTATAGATTTGGGTTTATTTTGGACAAGAAATCCGTGCACTGAGGGAGCAAAAATGCTGAGCAGAAACATTGGAATGATCATATGGATCCTATATATTTGCTCTTCTTAAAAAAAATTTTGTGTCACCACCCCCCCCCAACTGTCTGCAGATGTTTATGGGTGCATTCCTTTATTTCTTTACTTTACAACCAGGGTCGCTCTGTTTAGATCCTCTCCTAAAGATTGCAATAAGGGGAGTGTCCAGCTACCCCTCTCCATTTTCCTCATCATCACCTTCTTTTAGAGATATTCTTATCTCACTACAAATTTTCCTAGGCACTGATTAGTGTTTGACTCAACTCTCCACCCCTTCAGTGTCTTGGAAGCCTCTTCATGTCCCTCACAATCTCAGACCATAGCATATGTTCTGCAAGGCCCTCAGGACAGGGCTCTGGAAGCACATCCATACTCCATAACAGCAGTATAAAGAGCAAGAACTTATTAATTAGCAAGCATGCTAAGGCAATTAAGAAAAATGTTGGTGAGGAGGTGGGGAAAAGGTACACTCATACATTGCTGGTAGGACTGCAAATTGGTGCAATCATTATGGAAAACAATATGGAGATTCCTCAGAAAATTTGGAATGGAACCACGATTTGACCCAGCTACTCCACTCCTCAGCTTATACCCAAAGGACTTAAAATTAGCATATTACAGAGATACAGCCACAAAATTGTTTATAGCAGCTCGATTCACAATAATCAAACTATGGAACCATCCTAGATGCCCTTTAACAGATGCATGGATAAAGAGAATGTGGTACATATACACAGTGGAATATTAGCCTGAAAGAAGAATGAAATTATAGCATTTGCAGGTAAGTGGAAGGAGCTGGAGAATGCCATGTAAAGTGAAATAAGCCAATACCAAAAAACCAAAGGCTGAATGTATTCTCTGATATGCGGATGCTAATTCACAACAAGGGGGGCTATGGAAAAATAGAGGTACTTTGCATTAGGCAGAGGGGAATGAAGGGAGGGGAGGGGACATGGGGGTAGGAAGCATAATAGAATGAATCAGACATTATTACCCTATGTACGTATATGATTACATGAACGGTGTGATTCTACATCATGTACACCCAGAAGAAGTTATACCCCTTTTATATATGATGTGTCGAAGTGCATTCTACTCTCATGTGTAACTAATTAGAACAAATAAAAAATATATAAATGCTAACAAAAAAATTCAAAAATATAGCATTAATTGGTTTAGACATTTGGGTTAAGGCAAAAGATCTTGTTTTAATCCAATTCTATTTTATTTAAGTCCATTCCATTTCATTGGTAGATTGGACTACCCAGGGAAGTCCTTGTGCTGCAGTCACAGGGAGTTCTGAGCAGACCCAACCATCAGTCTGACTGGCTTAATGTGCAACTTCCATTACTCTTTCCAGGAATAGGTCACTTGTTGCTACCCTATGATTAATGATGTCAAATCAGTTCCATGAGGCAGAATACAGGTTGCTGTACGATCTTGTGTTGGTAAAGCAGCCTGCATAGTGTGCTTACCTGGGCATGTGTACCACATCAATCTGTACATCAGGTGTATATAAAGAATAAGAAACCTCAAGAATATATGACTGGGGGCTGGGGATGTGGCTCAAGTGGTAGCGCGCTCGCCTGGCATGTGTGCAGCCCGGGTTCGATCCTCAGCACCACATACAAACAAAGATGTTGTGTCCGCCAAATACTAAAAAATAAATATTAAAAAATTCTCTCTCTCTCTCCCTCTCTCTCTTTCTTTAAAAAAAAAAGAATATATGACTGCCTACAGGCATGGTGGTGCATATCTGTAATTCTAGTGGCTCGGGAGGTTCAGGGAGGAGGTTAGCAAGTTCAAAGCCAGCCTCAGTGACTTAGTGAGACCCTGTCCCAAAATAAAATTTAAAAAATAAATAAGGGGCTAATGATGTGGCTCAGTGATTAAGTGCCCCTAGGTTCAACCCCTGGAACAAATGTGTATATATATTTCTGCCATAAATGGACACAAAGTGTTCCTTAGGTGATGACACCCAAGGGTAACATCACCTGTATTTGTGAGGGCCATATTCCCAACACAGTAGGCTTTATTTATAAATTTAGACATTCTTCCTCCTCCCTAAGGAGTCATTAGAGCAAACCATTGCTTGTCTTGTTTCTTGTCTCCAATGTGATGTCTGTAGGAGCCAGCAGCAGTAAGTTGTTATTTGTACCCCAGGTTAAGAAAATCCTCAGTGAAAGTGTCCTGTATTTGTAACCTTAACATTGGCAGCAAGATAGCATAGAAATGCCTGCAGGCCACTGAAATCTTGGTTTCTCATTTAATGTCCTTAGTACCTCCATCCATTTACCTGCAAATGCCATGATTTTATTCTCTTTTATTGCTGAGTAAAATTCCATTATGTATATATGCCACATTTTTTTAATCAATTCAGCCACTGAAGGGCATCTAGGTTGGCTCCATAGTTTAGCTATTGTGAATTGTGCTGCTATAAACATTGATGTGGCTGTGTCCCTGTAGTATGCTGTTTTTAAGTCTTTTGAGTATAAACTGAGGAGAGGGAAAGCTGGGTCAAATGGTGGTTCCATTTTCAGTTTTCCAA